TAGCTATTTGCGTAAAACTAGTCTAGTCGTGGTGAATTAGCTCAGCTTTTTTTTTTTTGGGGGGGGTGTTCAGGGAATAGACTTCAATCTCTCCCTCATATTTGAAGGAATAGTTTGCTGGACACAGTATTCTTGTTTAGCAGAGTTTTTTTCATTACATTTAGAAGTTTGAGAATGTCATTCCACTCTATACTGGCCTGCATTCTTTCTGCTGTGGTGTCTCTTGTCAAATTGGAGTTCCTTTATATCTTACTTGCTTTTCTTTCATTGCTTTGGAATTCTCTATGTGTCCTTGACCTTTGAGAGTTTGATTATTATATGATTTTGGGTAGTATTATTTGGGTCAGTTCTATTCAGTGTTCTCTGACCTTCCTGTACCTGGATATTTATATCTTTCTCAGGTTTTTGAAAGTCTTTAATATTATTTATCTTGTAGACAGTTTTCCCTGCCTTTCATTCTTTGTTCTCTTAAATTTGTTAAGGCTTGTTTTGTGGCCATATTAGTCTGTTTTCATGCTGTTGATAAAGAGATACCCAGGACTGGGTAATTTACAAAAGAAAGAGGTTTATTGGACTTACAGTTCCATGTGGCTGGGGAGACCTAACAATTGCAGCAGAAGGTGAAAGTCAGGTCTCACATGGCAGCAGATAAGAAAAGAGAGCTTGTGCAGGCAAACTCTTCTTTCTAAAACCATCAGAGCTCTTGAGACTTACTCACAGTCACAAGAACAACATGGGAAAGACCTGCCCCCATGATTCAGTTACCTCCCACTGGATCCCTCCCATAACACATTCAAGATGCGATGTGGGTAGGGAGACAGCCAAACCATATCATTCTGCCCCTGGCTCTCCCAAATCATGTCCTTACATTTTAAAATTAATCATGCCTTCCAAACAGTCCACCAAAGTCTTAACTCATTTCAGCATTAACTCAAAAGCCCACAGTTCAAAGTTTCATCTGAAATAAGGCAAGTTCCTTCCAACTATGAGCCTGAAAAATCAAAAGCAAGTTAGTTACTTCCTAGACACAATGAGGGTACAGCTATTGGTAAATACAGCCATTCCAAATGAGAGAAACTGGCCAAAACAAAGGGGCTGCAGGCCCTATACAATTCTGAAATACAGCAGGTCAGTCCAATCTTAAAGCTCCAGAGTGATCTCCTTTCACTCTATGTCTCACATCCCAGCCATGCTGATGCAAGGGTGGGCCCCCTTGGTCTTGGGCAGCTCTGCCCCTGTGGCTTTGCAGGTTAAAGCCTCTCTCTTAGCTGCTTTCATAGGCTGGCATTGAGTGTCTGTGGCATTTTTAGGTGCACAGTGCAGTCTGTCAGTAGATGTACCATTCTGGGGTCTGGAGGACAGTGGCCTTCTTCTCACTGCTTCACTAGGTGGTGCTCCAGCAGGGACTCTGTGTGGGTACTCTCACAGCACATTTCCCTTTTGCACTGCCATAATAGAGGTTCTCCATGAGGACACTGCCCCAACAGCAAACTTCTGTCTGGTCATCCAGGCGTTTCCATACATCTTGTGAAATCTAGACAGAGGTTCCCAAACCTCAGTTCTTGACTTTTGTGTGCTGGCAGGCTCAGCACCACATGGAAGCTGCCAAAGCTTGAGGTTTGCATCCTCTGAAGCCACATCCCAAGCCCTATGTTGGCCTCTTTCAGCCATGGCTAGAGTGGCTGGGATGCAGGACACCAAGTCTCTAGGCTGCACATAGCATGGGAGCCCTGGGCCTGGCCCAGGGGACCCCTTTTTCCTCCTGTGCCTCCAGGCCTGTGATGGGAGCGCCTGCCACAAAGGTCTCTGATGGCCTGGACACATTTTCCTCATTGTCTTGGGGATTAAAATTTGGCTCCTTGTTACTTTTGCAAATTTCTGCAGTCAGCTTGAATTTCTTCTCAGAAAATGGGATTTTCTTTTCTATCACATTGTCAGGGTGAAAATTTTCTGAAATTCTTCTATGCTCTGCTTCCCTTATAAAACTGAATGCCTTTAATGGCACCCAATTCACCTCTTAAATGCTTTGTTGCTTAGAAATTTCTTCTGCCAGATGCCCTAAATTATCTCTCTCGAGTTCAAAATACAACAAATCTCTTTGCCACCGGTCTCTTTGCTAAAACATAACAGGAGTCACCTTTGCTCCAGTTCCCAACAAATTCCTCATCTCCACCTAAGACCACTTCAACCTGGATTTCATTGACCATGTCATTATGAGCATTTGGGTCAAAGCCATTCAAGTCTCTAGAAAGTTCCAGACTTTCCCACATTTTCCTGTTTTCTTTTGAGCCCTTCAAAATGTTCCAACCTCTGCCTGTTACCTAGTTCCAAAGTTGGTTCCACATTTTTGGGTATCTTTTCAGCAGCACACCACTGTAGTGGTACCAATTTACTGTATTAGTTCATTTTCATGCTGCTGATAAAGACATACCCAAGATTGGGCAATTTACATAAGAAAAAGGTTTATTGGACTTACAGTTCCATGTGACTAGGGAGGCCTCACAATCATGGCAAAAGGTAAAAGGGACATCTCACATAGTGGCAGATGAGAGAAGAGAGCTTGGGCAGGCAAACTCCCCTTTTGAAACCATCAGACCTTGTGAGATTTATTCACAATCATGAAACTGCATGGGAAAGACCTGCCTCCATGATTCAGTTACCTCCCACTGGGTCCCTCCCACAACACGTGAGAATTCAAGATGAAATTTGGGTGGGGACACAGCCAAACCATATCATTGACCTAACACATGATCTGTCTTGGAGAATGTTTCATTTGTGCTTAGAAAAATCTGTATTCTGCTATTGGATGAAATAGTCTGTCTATGTCCGTTAGGTGTGTTTGGTCTAAAGTGTTCAAGTCCACTGTTTCCCTCTTGATTTTCTGTCCAGATGATCTGTTCATTGTTGGAAGTGGATTGTACTGCAGTTTATATCATGCTTCAGATCTGTTAATATTTGATATATATATTTAGGTTCTCTGATGTTGGGTGCGTATATATTTTAAATCAGATTTAAAAAACTGTTATTTTTTTACTTTTTTCTAATTCTAATACTCAACATCTGTTTATTCATTGAGCATCTAATTGTTATAGACTCCAGGTATGATACCGTTTGGGATCCAAAGTTATGAACACTTGTTCTCTAGGAAGATGTACTTGAGTAGGAAGATAAACGAAACGACTCCAAGGAGTCTAAGACAGGGAAGTTTTGTGATTAAGGTGGGTGAAAGACCCAGGGAGGGCCTTAGAAGATGATGGTGCTTATGCCGAGACTTGAAGGATAGTCTGTTATTCTCCAAAAACTGGAAGTCAGAAAAGGAAATTTACGCAATGAGGACAATATTAGTAGTACCTTGGAATGACAGGATGTCTCTGCCATTCAAAGGTAATGTCAAGACTCTAGTTTCCTTGGACTATACATTTTCTTTATGGAAATAGTGAAAAGTAGGTCTGAGTAGATAGTCTGAGAACATGATCTATGGCCTAGAATTCTAAAATTATAGGTGTTAGTAACTCTTCACACATGGGAAGAAATGTAGAAGGGACAAACAGGAAATGACAGTGGTGTTATTATTAGACATAAGACATTTAGGGGAAAAACTGGTTTGGAGAGATGACACTAATTGGCTTATTCAGTGTGAGGGACATTTATGCAAAGGTGAAACACCAGACCACAGCGCAACACAGAGGTTCAGCCAAGAACTGGTGGTTGAGAGTTCACTATCAGTATCTTGAGACTTGATGAACTAGATAAAAAGAGTTAAGAAGATAAGCCAGCTGAGAATAGAGCATTGGAAAGGCTGAATTTGGGGAACAAGAGGAGAAGACAAAAAGGAAGCAGCAAGAGAGTGGTCAGAGAAATAGTTGAAACAGCCTACTGCAATATCATAGAGAAGTGAAGGGATAACGTTTTTCCTCCAAAAAGAGTCAAGTATGTTAAATACCTAGAGTAGAGAAACATGAGAAGCTGAGGTCATGCTGGTCAGTGACTTTCTGAGATTTCATGTTATAGGATGGTGAGAAGTACTAGCTAGACTGCATGGCATTAAAACAAGTCCCGCTGAGCTAAACATTGAGTACCCACGAACACAAAGAAGGGAATGATACACACTGGGGCCTACTTGAGGGTGGAGGGCAGCAGGAGGGTGAGGATCAGAAATCTACCTGTCAGGTACTATGCCCATTACCTGGGTGATGAAATAATCTGCACACCAAACTCCCACAACATGCAGTTTACCCATGTAACAAGCCTGCATATGTACCCCTTGAACCCAGAATAAAAGTTGGAAGGTAAAAAAAAGACATGAAGACAGACTTAGAACATTTAAGTTAGGCAGAGATGTAATGCTGTTGGATAGAAGCATTCCAGACATACTAGCGGCATTTTAATTAAAACAGAGTTTTTTAGATTTTCTTTTTAATATAAACATGAGAAACAAAAACCATATTAATTACAGCATTCTTTTCAAAATAAAACTGCAATCAATACTTGAAAAAAGACAAGCCCTGGTGATAGGAGAGCTGTGGAGCTCAGCAGTGAACTGAGAAGGGAGGAATGTGGAAGCACGAGGGCCCAGCAGGCCTGTGGGGGCAGCTTTCCGAATTGTTTTTTGAGATCGATAAACACATACTTACATAATCTTGGCATGACTAATAGGCAGGGACGCAGGAAGAATAATGAAAGAATACAGTTTAATTCCCAATGCGGAACCCCAATACACAATACCTTTTTTCTGCCTGTAGTAGATACATGGCCTTCTTGAGAAAGACATATGAGATATAGTTGTTTTATGTATTTACCTTTTTTCTTTTTGGAAAAGTATTAATATGAGCTTCTACTACCATTAATTCACTCATTCAGCAAAAACAAATGCCAGTTCCAGGTATTACATGCTAGGTCTAAGAGTCCAGCAATAAACAGAGTAGACATAGTGCCTCCCTCGTAGCACTCACAGTCTACTAAATTTAGCTACTATTTAAAATTCTTTGCCTTTATTTTAGGTTCAGTTGCAGACTCTTCTTCAAAGCAAGTATGTGGAATATTTCATTGAGCAAGTGTTAAGTTGGCAAAATAAATTAAACATAGCAGACTTGATCATCTTTACTTGGATGGAAGTCCAGCAAACTTGGTCTCACCTGGAAAGCATTTTTGTCTGTTCAGAGGATATTCGAATCCAGCTTGTGAAAGATGCTAGAAGATTTGATGGGGTGGATGCTGAATTTAAGGTTTGTCACAGACAGGCTGTATGCTATTCTAGCGAAGTTTTGTAAAGAAACATGAGTTGGAGCATCATATTTATAAAAATGAATATGTTTTTGCATGAGTAAGCAGGAGTCAGGAGACTTTTCCTGCGAAGGGCCAGGTAATAAATATTTCAGGCTGTGTAGATCATGCAGCCTCTCTAACACATTCTGAATAGTGCCATCAAAGCATGAAAGAAGACATGGATAATACATAAACAAATGGATATGGCTATATGCCAATACAGCTTTATTTGTAGACATTGAAATTTGAATTTCACATAGTTTTCATGTGTCACAAAATACCACACTGCTTTTGATGTTTTTCAGTGATTTAAAACTGTAGGCTAGGCTCAGTGGCTCAGACCTATAATCGTAGCCCTTTGGGAGTCCAAGGTGGGAGGATGACTTGAGGGTAGGAGTTCAAGACAAGCCTAGGCAATATAGTAAGACCCCTTCTCTACTAAACAATTTTTAATAATTAGCTGGGCAAGGTGGCCCACGCTTGCAGTCCTAGCTACTCGGGAGACTGAGATGGGAGGATCACTTGAGCCAAGGTAGTTTGAGGTTTACAGGGAGCTATGACTGCACCAGTGCACTCCATCCTGGGTGACAGTGCACTCCATCCTGGGTGATAGGATGAGACCCTGTCTCCAAAATAAATGTAAAAATCATTATTAACTTCTAGGTCACGCAAAAACAAACATCAGGCCATATTTGTCCCATATGCCATAGATTGCTGACACTTGTACGAAAGGTAAACAGATTTGTCTTCATAAGTAAAAGACTGAGAAAGGACAACAGGTAGAAAATACTACTACTAGTTTGGGTTTTTCTTTTCTGTAGGAGCCACAGAAACCATATAGCATTGTGCACATAATAATGATAATTGATTTGAGAGATTTCTAGCAAAGGATGACTATTTCTTTCTCATAAAATTGAATTAAATTGTTGCTTCTTTCTACCTAAAGTAGAAGTTCTGGATCAATTTTATTTCCTTTAACTTTTGAGGAGGAAAAAATAGATTGTTTAGCTCTGTGTCACTTTTATACAGAGGTGTGCTTTTTAAGATTCTGTGTGCTCTCTCTCTCTTTCTCCTTCTCCCTCCCTTTCTCCCTCTCTCTCTCTCATCTCTCCTCTCCTCCTCTTTCCATTTCTCTCCTTTTTCCTCTTCCCTTTCTCCCGTCCTTTTCTCCTTCTTTTCCCTTTGTTTATTCTTTTATGTTTGATTTAGAAGATAAAAATTCTGTATGGGCCTAAATTGGTGACAATGCTTATTACATTTATTTTGATAAAAATGATGTGCTTGTACATTGCTTTTGATCTTCATCTAAGAGTTAAAAAGCAAAAGTAAACAGATGTGGTGTCAGATATTCTTAGAAATCTCTTGAACCTTGCCTCTTCATTCTTTGTTCTTCATTTTTTAATTCTCAAAATGATTAAAAGTTTAGAAAATATTGTTTGAATATCCATGGCTTCATGTTGTGCTTTCATACAGGAGTTAATGTTCAAGACAGCAAAAGTAAAAAATGTGTTAGAAGCAACATGCCAACCTAATCTCTATGAAAAACTTAAAGATTTACAGTCCAGGTAAGAATAAAGCTATAGAAGATGACTGATTTGCTGTAATTTTATAAGTCTCTTTCACTGACCTAATAGTATTTAATACTGTGTTATTATAGGTGTAACCTCTACTAAATTATGTAATTTTGCTTATAATTGTCTAGTTGCCTCATCCATGTTGCATGGAACGTATATATTTTAAGTTATACATAATATTGTAAGTTATGTATATATTGTAAGTTATATATTGTAAATCCAAAAATACTTGTTTTCTGAGAGGAGTATTATACTGGTAAAATTAGAATATCTTATTATCAAGAGCACTGACATGGTTGGTTAATTCTTTCATCAAACTGTTCTGTAAATATTGATTGTGCACCTACTGTGTGCCAGGAACTGGGATTGCACTCAGTTAATGAAGTTCCTTAGTTTGCATACACTTTCATTTTATTAGAAATTATCCTTAGGGAGCATAGTAGCACTTTTGAAATCATTGTCCCAAGGGCCATTTGTAAAGTAATTTTCACATTTAATTCTACAACAGTTAGTGGTCATAAGAATATTCTGGCTTTTGATTAAAAAATGGGCAGACTTGCTACTAAAATTATGGGTTATGGAACTGCAGTCCTTTCTTATTGCAAGGTAAGGAAAAGATCTAGACAAAATTGCATATTAGATAAACAAAACAGTTTTATAGTCTCAAAGTGTTTTGGTATTAAAAAGGGTGAAGTTAACTATTTCGGTTGAGTGAAGCTCTTTGGGGCTTTGGGACCCTGCTTCTGGCTCATTTCTGCTTTGCTAAGGGCAATAAAGTGGAACCATTCCGGATCTAATGACTCCTCTGAATACCTGAGAGTAGTGAAGTCACTTGTGTTTTGTAGACATCTGGTGGGGAAAAGAAGACCCTAAACCAGTGACATCTTACCAGTGTGCTTTGCTCTCTGGATGAAGGATGACAACCTAGTCTTCACTTCTGATTAGGAGTGTCATTCAGAAAAGCAATAAATAACATAAACCTAAGTCTAATTTATATTTAGCTGAAACTAATGGAGTTTGTGTGTGTGTATGTGGTGTGTATACTTGGCATAGTACTCTTTTACTTGGCATTACTTGTATATTAGTCATAAGCCAAGATGGTGTCAAAAAGAGGGAAGTAGGCTACCTGTTAAACAGTGAGTTTACTCTGTTGAATGGCACACAGGTCTTGAGTTTTGTTTTGCTGAAGTTTTAATGACTTAATGGACAAGATATGCTTAAAAAGATTTTTCATTCATACAGGCTTTCTCTTTGTGAAAAAGCTCTTTCTGAATACCTGGAAACCAAGCGCGTAGCCTTTCCTCGCTTCTATTTCATCTCTTCTGCTGATTTACTGGACATTCTCTCAAAAGGAGCTCAGCCTAAACAGGTAATATTTTTTTTAAAGTCTTTTATCACACTGTGTTAGCTGAGGAATGTCATAGTGTCTCTATCATTGTCAAATGCTGCCTGTCACGTCATATGGGCCAGGAACTAGAAAATCTGCAGTTAAAATCTGTAATGCAGCATCACAGGGATGTCAGAGGCTGTGCCAAATGGAGCAGGAAGAATAACTGTGTTGTGCTCAGTAAAGAGGAATGGTATTAAATGCGTAAGGCTTACAGTTCTGAAAGAAGGTGATGGAAAGAAACACTGGTGCCAAATCCCCCAGAATGCCGGGACAAGGGCCAGGACATCCATTGCCTGATTAGCAGCTTTCTTAGGGGAGAAAGGTTCACGTGGAGCAAGATCATGACTGGTACCTTCTTACTACTCCCTCCAGAGTAACCTTCATAATTATTACATTGGGCTGATCTTCAGTGCTGGCTGAGTTAGATTTGCATACTTTTGGGATCATCCTAAACTAACCCTCTACTTTCCCCCTATCCATACGTAAATAATGCATCACCTTTTTGCTGATTCCCATGTCAATATTTAAAGCTAATAAAAGGAGATATTATGTTGTATAATCTGAGAACTCAGATCGGAGACAGACTTTGTACAAATTCCCAAGCACTCCTTTCTATAAACTTGAGAGAATGTTGCCTTTCATTTAGACCTACTGAATCTTCCTGTTCACTTAGATCTTACAATTGTGGCTGACATAGCTGCTCACTGCTAGCGTTGACTGTATACTGTAGATTATTTTGAAACTGAAGCTTATGCTATATAGTTATGGGGTTTTCTAGATGTTTTGATTTTTCTTGTGAAAATTTTTCTCTAAATATTTTTATGTCATTTTTCTTTAGAATACACACATTCTAAAGAAATACACACATTACAGTTCCCTGAATTTTACTGTTCTTTGGGCACAGTATTTATCTTGATTATTTTTCTCTTGTCCATCATTCAACTTTGCACCTAAATTGAATTGGGTGGCTATTCTTGTTGTTAATACAAGTGCAGTCTTGCTATTAATAACAGAATTGTTGGACAATTTGGGCAGCATGTTCAGGGTCACCACTCAGGTATTGTTTTGTATGTTTGTGCTAATTTCCAGATGGCTTTGCAAATAAAATCTCTCCGATCAAATTGATTATGAATCTACTATATCCATCTTTTACAAACTTATTAGCACACAATTAGATGCTTTTAAAAAACTCATTTGAAACATAATAGTTGTAACTACACTTATGCTCCAATAAGCCCCCGAGGGCCTCATGACCAGCAGCTGAATCCTCTGCCCAGGGTGACTCTGTGAGGACTGCAGGTACCATATTCCATTAAAGTAAATGTTCCTGAATACTTTTCATATCTGAAATGTTTATAATGCAAAATGAATTTTCAATAATTAGGTTAGTAGAGAGGTGTGTAAGTCTGTAAGTAGGTTAGCATTCTCTTTCTTTTAATCATATTATTTAAATACAATGAACACATGTGTGACTGGCTTCTTGAATAATATTAATTCCATGGAATAACAGTCATGAAACAGTTTTATCTTTCTGCAATTACGAATCTTGCCTGTGCCCTGCCGAATCTCTTTGCACTGCCGAATCTCTTTGCACTGGTAGCTGACCCCTTTCTAATATCTTGGGCAGGTACTGTAATTTCCTGGTCCCCCTTTCTTATTCAAAACTTAAAAAATAAACCAAAAGCAACTCAGCATATTCTGTTTGGAATTTCTATCTCATCTCTGTGTCAAGGCCAAGCTTTCATCTAAGAACTTGGGTTTGGGAGGGAGACTTCGGTTATTTCATCCCTGCTCTCTGCCCATGTATCACTGGGAGGGTTTTAGGGGTATGATTTGTCTGTTGTTGCCCTTTCTTAATGACTGCTCCTGCTTCCCTTGCCAGCAGTGACTGTCCATCTTCATCCTTAACAGCAAGGATCTATGTGCTGGGTTTCTGGTGGAGTGTGTGTACAAGTCCTCTGGGCAAAGGGAACGTCCTCAGGATGTATATGCCAGAGCCACTTCTATTTTAATCCTTCCAGTTCTTGCTCTTGGCAGTATAACCAGCCACCTGGTTCCATCTTCCTTCTCTGTTTCTACATAGGCAGATGTCCAAACAATGGGCACATTGAAGATTCACTTTCTGCTAGTTCCCAAAATTTTTATAAGTGATTCTCCTTGCTTGACTGTAGAGTGGAGGTTGGGGGACCCAGTCTTCTGTCTTACCCACAGATGAGGAGGGAGGTGCCATGGCTTCCCCATCGTGGCTGATAACTCATGCTGTGCAGATGGCCTCCTTTGGTCTCTTCCTCCCTATAGTACTTTCTGTAAAAGGCCTGCATGCAGGTAGAGGAGGGTGGCCTGTTGAAATGTGTCTTACCAAACCCTGGAGGGACTACCTGTCCTAACCCTTGTCCATTTCCTTCAGAATGTGCATGTACTCATTGCCTCTTTGTCCTTAATTGAAGTCCTAGTCTGTGCTAGAGGGAAACATCACTCATTGTGTTCTTGTCACCATCTCTATTCACCCTCCTTTTAAATCATCAAAAAATGCTTCAAGCCTTTGCTAGACTACATGTTGACTCACAATTTATGCATCTCTGAGACCAGTTTATTTTTCAGACTTCAATGATGTGCTTTTTAAATCTTTAAAAAAATTTTTACAACACAACTTCAGTATTTTACAGAGTGCTGTCTTCTCCATTATCTGTGTGACTTACTGTGGATATCTCCTCACCTACCCCATTCATAGCATTTTAACCATGCGTTCTGAATCCCTGAATTCCAGGTACATTGCTCAGTATTGGTACCCCTCCTTAAAGAATGACTAGATTATATAAGACATTTGAAAGATCTGAAATTGTGATGAAGTTGAATGTTAAAATCATAGCACGGAGCTCTCCAGACTCCCTCACAGCTGTGCTGATAAATGCCACCACACTAACAAAAGGAAGTGGGTATTTCTGCTCACCAGCTAAAAGGATCCAGCCCTGTGGCCACAGTATAAACGTGCTTTTATGGTTCTGACACACACATTTGAAGTGGTTAGATATATTTTTGATATATTTTGAAATTTTGAGGAAATTCATATTATTTCAAGTTGTGTTCAAAATGTGATTTCACTGAAGTCTTTTTGTGTACACTAAAATTTTGAACAATTAAAATTCACATAAAATGCTGTCACACTGTTACTAAATGTCCATTATTAGAAAAAGTGCTTAGTAGTACAAATAACCATGGTACAAACAACCATCCAAGAGTGACTTGTTGAAAAGGAGCTAAGGGCCATTTGAGTCATCTGGAGCCATAGTCAGCTTCTTTCCCTGGAAGAAGTGGTTCTGCAGATTCAGCATGCATTCTGAATTCTTGCTCACCAACTGTGGAAGAGCTCATGCTACAGGCTGGTAGGCCAGATAGGGCGATCTTGCTGTACTCTCTTACCTTCTTTTCAATATTAGAATCAGTTTCAGCCCACCAGACCTAGTCTTTCTGTCTATGCCCTTTGTGCTAACACTCCTGAATGTGCTCCCTGTAGTGTGACTGAGATAACATGGCAACTGCAGCTTGTGGAGCAACAATGCAGTTTCCCCATAAAAGGTGCCCTTTGTGGGTAGATAATTCATCTTGACATCTTGTGAATGACTTGAATTTTCCAGCCCCCCCTCACCCCCGCCGCCCCTCTACCCACCCACACTCCATGTAAGAGTGTTGGTCCAAGTGAGAGTTTCTGCAGTTAATTGCGGAATTTGATCAGCTTGAATAGACTAGCCAGGGAGGTCTGATAACCACGACCACCCCCACTCTGTAAGCAGAAACCCCTAGTTTAAGATACAACAGTTCGAATGGCAGAATGATAAAACTGGTGTGTCTAAAATGCTGTCAGTGATTATTAGCTGTTGGTAAGTTTGGTAAGATCAAGTTTTTAAAATTTTCTTCCCCCAGAATTCAGCCTGACCTCCCAAGGTTATCGATTAAAGGAGGGTGGATGCAGGTGCTGCTTAACTTCAGTGGTAAAACTCTCTTGCAGTTGCTGTAGAAATAAAACTTAAAAGTGTATTTGCCAGATTCATTGACATGGGGCAATAGTTAAGGACAACTGGCCTGAAGTCCTTACAGTATTCAGTATTAACATTCTTTGATATTTTTTTCTCGTTTCAGAAAAACATGTGTTTTTAAACTAAAGTCATGTAGTGGTTAAAGTCAGATAAAATAATACCAGTTTATCCTTTTGCACCCTTTCAAGTCGTTACATACTATCTCAAAATAACTGACAATTTTGGAGTGTCAGGTGTTTTTAGCCATTGTTTCCTAATGATGTGGAAGATCGTTTTGTCTGAGGACAGTTTTCACATTTTCTCTTGTTTCATCTGCTATGAAACATTGAACTTCTCCATGAAGGTTAGCTTTGGATAAGCTCATCCACAATAGAGGTATACTAAAGAAAGACACACTGTCAATGTGATTGGCTTTACTTGTGCTTCTAATGGGATAGTTGTGATTCTTACATGGCTACTGAGCCCTTGAAATATGGCAGCTAAGGAACTGACTTCTTATTGGCGTAAATCACAATTAATTTAAATCTAAAAATTGATATTTGATTCAGTTACTGGAAAATACAGTGTGTTTGAAACAACTTGGGTATGTGAATCTACCTTTGTCCCTGCATATTTTTTGAAATGAAAATACAGGTCTGGCATTTTCTGATGAAAAATCCAGATGAGCTATGCTGAAAATATAAAATATATACCTTGTTTTAAAGAATTACCACAAATAAAATATGGAAAATATCTCACTTTTTCTATTACTTACATGTTGAATGATAATATTTTTGGATATACTGGATTAAATATACATTAAAATTAATTTCACCTTTTTTTTATATTAATGAGGCAGCTACGTAGTTGTAGCTGTGGGCATTGAAGCCATAATGCATTCTCTAAAATGACAAAATACATATACTCAGGAATGCTTAATGTTTGCCCAAAGAAATGCCCTTCAAG